ATGAGCCCTGAAATATATGCTGGCAGTTAGCCACCAGCCTCCCTTTCAATCAACAGGCTCAGCTGACTGGGGCTCTTACAGTGGGTTTAGTTGACTGAGGATGGAATCGTAACACTGCACTGCCATCTAGTGGTTTGCGGAGGGATTGCAGGGCTTCTTGCCTCGTCCGATAGGGAGCCGGTTGTTTACAAGTGACATTTGTTCCTAATTAAATGCTGCACTTGTTGCAGCACTTCTTGTGGAGAGGGGCTTGCATCCACGATAATGCAGGCGGGATTCTGGATTCTCTTGTAAGCTTCCTCCACTCTGAAAAAAAAGAGCAATTTGTCATATGTGCACCAAAGCTGTTTTGCTTACAGCTTTCTAAATATACTTGATATTGTTTGGATGAAAATCTTTAAAAAAAAACTTGGCTACCAATAGGGGTCATTTTCAGGAAATTGAGCCATAATGTTTTTTGTGGTAACCATAAATAGATTTGTTCAGGATTCTTTGATGAATATTTTTTTGAAAAAATAGAAATGTAAAAGTCTTTGTTGTTACTTTTGATCCATTAAATGCATCCTTGCTGAATAAAAGTCTTAATTTCTTTTAAAATAAATAAATAAATACTGACCCCAAACTTAAAACAGCAGTGTATACAATTTAAAAAATTTGTTGTACCGAAATTTTACCATTATTGAAATTACTGTCATATTTCATTATCAGTGTATTATTATTATTTTTTTTATCTAAAATGATTTATGCATTTCCAGAGAAAATGCTAAATTTGTCATTGTTTCTACATTTTCTGTTCAAGCCCGTTGGGTTTGATATAAATTCTTTGACCACATGCTAAAAAAAGTATTTATCAAGTCTTCTTTATCAAGTCTTCTTTACCCATTATATTCAACCCTAAAACATTTTAAATGGGATTGGCACAAACATGTTTTAAAGAGAAATTCTATTTAATATTGTTTCATATTAAGTTATTACTTTTTTCACAAGTAAAATGCTTCATTTAAGAAAAGCCACATTTTCTCTCACAAATGGCACTATTACCTGGAAATGCCCAAGAAATAGCAATTTACATTTACTTTAGAGTAATCAGTACAACCAATATAGAGATGCACAACATCTGAAAACTTTAAGGGTTATCACATACAGTAAGCAAGTGATCTTAAAAGATAAAACACTTCAACAAGTTGCCCTACTTAAGTCGGAAGAGCTGATTGAGCTCTAGCTCAGTCTCCTCAACGGTCTTGTCCTGTCCTCTGTCTCTGAGTCTTCTCAGTCTTTCTTCTGGATTGACAGTGAGAAGCAGCACCAGGTTTGGTTGAAGCAGGTCTCCTGGCCACTGGTAGAGCTCTGAGTCCAGCCTAGGGAGGTTTTCAACCCTTCCACTGACTGCTGTGGCAATAGCATACGCTGCTGTGCTGTGCCAATACCTAGAGGAGACCCCCAAAAAAATTGTTTAGAGGTTATCTATATCAGTGCCGGGAAAAGGAAATAACTTAAAAGGGTCATGACATGGATTTTTTTAGCCTTACACCAGGTTCAGTCACTAGCGTACCTCTTGAGGCCAGGGGAGTGAGGTTTACACACACACAGCTCTAACTGGGCTACGTTAATCCACCCCCCCCCCCCAATGTAACCTGTCCCACTCCCCCCGCTCCGAACGGGTTTTGAACCCGGGTCGCCGGCTTGGGAGGCACACTAACTAAAGACCACAGCCGCTAGTGCCTCTTAAGGCCAGGGGAGTGAGGTTTACACGCACAGCTCTTACTGGCCTATGTCAGTTACACACACACCCCTACACCTCACTCCCATCTGGGTCACGGCACCAAATATAACAGGTCCTACTTAACCCGCTCCAAGCGAGATTCAAACCGGCGTAGGAGGCACGAGCACTAACAAGGACACTAAAGACCGCAGCTTCTAGCTAGCGCGCCTATTGAGGCCAGGGAAGTGAGGTTTACACGCACGCACAGCTCTTACTGGCCTACGTCTGTTACACTCACCCCCCTAAACCTTCCGTTGAACTCTATTGGTAACTACGGAACTTGCGACCATAGTTGGCTTTGGGAAAAGCACCCCAGTGCGAGATTTAAACCCTGGCATGGGAGGCTGGTGCGCTAACAAGGACGCTAAAGACGCGTTAGCCGCTAGCAGGCCTCTTGAGGCCAGGGGAGTGAGGTATACAAGTCAATTTCTCACAGCCTCAATTTCATCCATGTAAATTGTATTTTTTTATGCCAGCTAAATTATGCTCTGATTACAAATATAAATGCTTTTTCCTGATCGGTATTTAAAATATCCTCAAATAAACATTTACGTTTGAGCGAGCATCAATTTCCACAAATCCAGTTTTAAAACATCTGCTAAAACCCTATACGTTCCACAGTGCTGCCCAAACATCAGCTGAATCGTGTGAGTGTATTTGTGGCGCACACATACCTGTCCACTATGACAGGAGCCCTTAAGGACTCTTTTCCGATGTGGGCTGCAGTGATGTAGTTCCCCAGAGCGTAAAAGGCCCTGCGGATGAGGGGTGGTTCTGAGTCAAAGCGCTGTCTGAAAGAATCCAGGCACTGGGGAGGAGATTTCAGCAGAGTGGCATTCAGAGACTCCCGCAGGGCTTCTGTGAGAGTAGTTTTACCTATAGGTGAAATCAGGGAAAGGTATTGAGAGGAGTCAACAAACTTTTTTGAGTGCAAACTATTTGTTTAAGCATGATTTGAATCATACTGACAGCTATGAATTTTTAGATGGTATTACTTTCTGCTTGGTATTAATAAGCTGAACAAAATATTTGTCAGAAAGACTCAGTGTTAACCTGTAGCGTCAAGTCCCTCGATCACAATGACAGGAAATCCATCACCACTGCTCGTCTCCAACTGTTCGTCTACGAGCTTCAACACTTCCTTTGACTCCGGGATAATGTCAGTGCACTGGGATGGGCAGAGGAGGATGTAATGTTTTACCTCAAGCTGCATTGTGGTTAGAGTACTGAACTTCATTGGTTAAATAATCACCCATTGTTAATTGTTCCTTTATATCAGGTAATCAAGTATACTTTCATTTCAGCATTAAAGTAAAATAATCTAGATAGATATAACTGCAGCTGTTTTTATATGTATACTGTATACATTTATAAAAATACTATAGTTTGAGTTTGGTATAGGCTATAGGCTATATATATATATATATATATATATATATATATATAGGCCTATATTTTTTTAAGAAGTCTATTATATGCTCACCAAGACTACATTTGTTTGATGAAAAATACAGTAAAAAGTAAAAAGAGTAATATTGTGAAATACAATTAAAAATAACTGTTTTCTATTTTTTCTCCCCTATTTTTAAATGTAATGTTTTCCTGTGATGGCAAAGCTTCAGCAGCCATTACTTCAACTTGTGTCACATGATACTTAAATAAATCATTCTAATATGCTGATTTGGTACTGAAAACAGTTGTGTTGCTTAATATTTTTGTGGAAAATGTGATGCGTTTTTTTTCAGTTTTCGTTGATGAATAGAAAGTTCTAAACAACAGCATTTAACATAGGCTATAAATGACTACAGTCACTTTTGATTCATTTAATCCATCGTTGCTGCATTAGTAGTAGGCTAGTAGGCTAGCCTATTTACGTGTATGATAGTCTAGTATAATAATCTGGTCCCAAAATGTTTCAAAATCCTACTGTACCTCCTGAAGAACCTTATAGGCTTCATCCATACTGTAGAAGACATCGGAGTTCCTGATGTTCAGTGTGGATGGGTGATGCTCTGCTGCTGTAGCAGGTGTGATGTACTGTCTCACTGACTCCTTCACTTGACTGACAGGTGACCACAGCTCCTGCCAGCAGTACTGACCCTCGCGCTTGTATGAAAACACACATACTGTTTTACTCTGCCGCAATGTGTTTAATAAGTCCTCTGAAAGTGTTGTAGTGGATTTGTCTCGTATAAAAAAGCCTTTAACGACGCTCTTTTCGTCGTCCGGAATAAACGAAGACGCTTCAAAAACATCGCAATCTCGCGAGATTGTTGAAGACAGCTTGTGTTTTATTTCGGCGTGCGTTTGCGCTTTCTCAATTCTGTTCTCACTTCGGACATGTACCGAGAAGAGCTTCCCACACTCTCCAAAGAGCTGTTGATGATCATGATGGAGAACCTGTGGGCTTGAGCTCAGTGTGAAATAAAGAGGTTCAGCGCGCAAATCAAACTCCACCGCAAATACACGCGAACACAGCTCTCCACAGCGAAACATTGCTCTCCTTAGCATTGTGAACGGTGTTAGATAGCACAGTACGTTATATATGGAAGAATCACATTTGTACACGCGCCGCTTACAGAGAAACGAAACTTGACCCGAAAACGAAAGTAGGATAGCCAGCCGTCCACTTACGTAACTCACGAAACGAGCCTAGCGTCAGCCAAACATTCCAAAATCAACAGTAGCTACGGTGAAGTTCAACTATCATTAATTATATGTTAGTTTAGTTTAGGGTCCAATTCTCACTATTTGGCTAACTAGTATGTTTTAGCAGCATGCATACTTATAAAGCACTAATGCCTTCTTCATGCCCATATTCTATATCCCGCAAGCAGTAGGCTAATTAGGAGTTTATTGAGGCAAACGTCGTAGTTAATAGTGAGAATTGAAACTTAAGATAAAGTGTGACCACTTAATGATATTGTTATTGTTGTAGGGTTAGTGTCCTTAAGCAAATATATTCCTATAAAATAAAATAATAATATGTTGCAACTTGCTGCATTTTAATTGGCCATGCATGGTATAAAGGCTATATTTACTAAATCCATGTGACTCAGGAAAATTAAACAACTACGCCTATATGTTTGGCTCAGCTGATAGGCTATTTATCTTTCGTTTTTCGCATGTTTGACTCAGCTGATTATCTTTCGTTTTTCAGTCCCCCCCAAGCAAGAACAGAAACCGATCAGAACAGGAACTTGAGACTGTCCTATAAAAAGGGAGGTGTGAGCTCTCTGAGTATCAGTCTACACACACTTCACCATAGTGACATCAAACCAAGTTGGTTTTGCAAGAATGTTGATGCAGTTGTGTTTCAAGAACGTCCACGGCTTCTTTTCAGCCCTGTTGAAATGGATTTCAGGATGGATGATGGTATTAGACACACTGGTGCCTCTTGGGATGATCAGTCGTCCGAAGATTCGCACCAAAGAGCAGAAAGAGGGATCCAGCGCACAGCTGACCACTCCAAGCAGTGTGAACTACCATTTTACCCGGCAGTGCAATTACAAATGTGGCTTTTGCTTCCACACTGCGAAGACCTCGTTCGTCTTGCCTATTGAAGAGGCAAAGCGAGGGTTACGACTTCTGAAAGAAGCAGGTAATCTAACATGTCACCATGCAATTAAATTATGATGTTTTATGGAATATTGCAGAATTTATTATAAATGATTTTTCCGTGCAAATCATTATTTTTAAATAAATAAATACAAATAATAATAATAATAAAAGTAATGTGCCCTCGTAATATTTAATCAAAATAACTAACTTCCCCATGTTTATCTGATGACGTGATTAATGGCACGAGGGCGGGGCAACCTGTCACTCACATGAGATCATGACATGCGACATTAATAATTTAATGTAGTCTAGTTATTCATATAAATTGATATTTTGTATATATATTATAATTGTCATAATTAATAAATCAATGTAAATGTAAATTATATGGGGTTTTTTTCCATTTCAACTTTAATGATGACTAGACTGTCTTTTTTTATTCTAAAACTTGGTTTGTATGTTTTAGGAATGGAAAAAGTTAACTTTTCGGGTGGAGAGCCCTTTCTTCACGAGAGAGGCTCTTTTCTGGGAGAGTTGGTGCGATACTGCAAACAGGAGCTGCAGCTTCCGAGCGTCAGCATCGTTAGTAATGGCAGTCTGATCAAAGAATCCTGGTTTCAGAAATACGGTGAGAATCATTCCTGACCACCAGAGGTCAGCAAAGATCATTTTAAAACACTTTAGAGTGAACGTTACACATTTTACACGGTAATAACAATCTCAATGTTGATTACATAGAGCTCTACACAATATAAATACGTACTCATAGGTTAATTATTAAGCTCCACTTAATAATTGGATATTACGAATATTAATATTAAGTAGCCTATTAATATACATAATTTTTGCACACTAACAAAATCCACCACAGCACTTCATGAACACCTGTTGTCACTGCATTCTGCATTTCTTTTGTCTGTTCCAATTCGTTCATTGTGTGTAATGAGATTTGATCAAACAATTGATCTTTATTTTTAATTCAAGCACATGAGAATCCCTGACACTGTCTGTATAAAAAGTATGGGGAAAAAAGTGAAAGCATAGTTGTGAAATATGGCCAACCTAAATAGCTCTAACATACACCGCATACAAAAGTTTGGTGTGATTAAGGGTTTTTATTCAGTAAGGATGCATTGAAATGTGACAGTAAAGACATTTATAATGTGACAAAAATTAATTTGTTATTTTGAACAAATTAAGCAGCACAACTGTTTTCACCATTGATAATAAGAAGAAATGTTTATTTAGCACCAAATCAGCATATTAGAATGATTTCTAAAGGATCACTGACACTGAAGACAGAATCCGAATCACAGAATCACATAAATAAAATATATTTTAAATATATTAAAGGAGAAAACAGTTATTTTAAACTGAAATAATATTTCACATTCATTTGAACAGTATATTTGCTCAAAAAAAAATGTTTATTATAAAATACTTAATTATGGAATGCTAAAAGTGGTTATTTTTAAGCATGTATTTAAATGTTACTTAAAATTATCAAAAGTATTTGCATATGGTGACAAAATTAGCCAGAAAAATACTTCCCCTACACATATAGGCCCAGTTTCACAGACAGAGCTTAGATTAAGCCAGGAATAGGCCTTAGTTCAATTAGGACATTTAAGTAGCTTTAATAAACATGCCTTAGAAGAAGAAAAAATCATTACTGCTGTGCATCTTGAGACAAAACTATGGTACTGACATATTATAAGACAGTCAGTGCAATTTACTTTCAGTTAAAACAGCTCAAACATGCATTTTAGTCTGGGATTAGGCTTAAACCTTGTCTGTGAAACCAGAGGTTAAAGTATAGCACTGTCAGCTCCTTAATTGGTCAATTTAATTTGTATCTGTATTCTATAGGTGACTACTTGGACATTCTTGCAGTATCTTGCGACAGTTTTAACGAAGACACCAATAAAGTCATTGGTCGAGGTCAGGGCAAGAAGAGCCATTTGGACAATCTACATAAAGTTTGTTCCTGGTGCCGGGACTACAAGGTGGCTTTCAAAATCAACTCGGTCATCAACACCTACAATGTGGACGAAGATATGACAGAGCAGATCACTGCTCTGAACCCAGTGCGCTGGAAGGTACAGTTACTTCTTTTACTACAGACTTCCATGTTCCATTCCTCTATCATTATAACCAGGCTGCTGAATGTACTGCAATGTTCACACAGGTCTTCCAGTGTCTGCTAATTGATGGTGAAAACGCAGGGGAGAACAGCCTCCGCGAGGCAGAGAAATTTGTCATTAGTGAGCAGCAATTCCAAGACTACCTGGACCGCCATCAGAGCGTCAAGTGTCTGGTTCCAGAGTCTAATCAAAAGGTAATTTTGAAACACAGACCGCATACTTTGGCTCAATTCAGATCGCTCGTTTCAAAATAGCTTACAATTTGCCAGATAAAGTGGCTTCAAATTATGGGTAATAAACTCTCAGTTTCAATTCATTACCGAAGCTTTTAAGACGTAAACGAGTTTTGAATTTAAATAAAAATAGCTCTGTTCAGAGATGGAAGCTAGGGATTTGAATCTAAAGCATACTGTTAACTTGATGCGAATTGTTTATTTTCTCATCTATTTCCCCTTTTACAGATGAGAGACTCTTACCTGATTCTTGATGAATATGTAAGTGGTCATATTTTCTCCTCAGCAGTTTTCTTCTCATTATTGCGCAAAGGATTTTTAAAATAAATATTTGATTATGTTGTCATTAGAGTCTAAAGGATTTTTTTGTATATTAGATTACACTGTTATTACAGTGTCAATGATTCCTTTAAATTACATTATGTCGTCATATCAGTAGTGAAGGGATTATGGATAGGAATCTAATAAGACCTGCAGTAATTTGCCTCATTCCAGGCTTCAAATGACTTCTCCCCCTTGGATAATCTCTGATCTCTATTAATAATCATGCTGTCTACGCTACATCATCAGACAGAGCAATCATCATAAATAGATTTTTAATCCTCCATATCTGATTCCGCAGATGCGCTTCTTGGATTGCCGAGAGGGGAGGAAAGATCCGTCAAAGTCCATTCTGGATGTTGGTGTGGAAGAGGCCATCAAGTTCAGTGGTTTTGATGAGAAGATGTTCCTCGTAAGAGGGGGGAAATATGTGTGGAGCAAGGAAGATATGAAACTGGAGTGGTGACCTTTCTCAATATTGCTTTTTTTTAACTCTGTTTACATTGAAAGCTGATTTAATTTATAAATGCTAAACAATAAATAATTATACAGTATAGTTACAGCCCCATATATAAGCTGATTTGATACATTGGTGCCTATGTCTGTATATTCAATATTTTTATATAATATAAGGAGATTCTACTGCACTGAAATACTTATATTATAGACATTGATTATTTGTATAGATATATGCTCAATTTGTTATTTGTATTATGCTTGAGTATTTGAATTACCCAAAGTATGTTTTTAACTCTTACTTTGCTGTGTTTTTCTTTACCTTATTGTAATTGTTTTTATGTAATCCTATAGGAAAATTATTGATAATTGATCTATCTATTTTTTAATTATGTGCACTCTGAAGGCACAGAGACACTTTGAGTTACAATTATGACTTAATGCACCTTAGATGCTTTAATTGTCATACGCCGCAGTTTGAGGCTCCTCAGATCACAATGTTGGAATCCTTTAAGCTCATTTTCTATAAGGGGAGTTTTCTAGTTCTTGCAAGAACTCAAAAGACTATCAGTGATACCCTCCTGTAACCCCACCCCATTATAATGGGAAAGCTTTAAATCACTTCTATCATAGAGAAGTTCACTGAGGCACCATGAAAAAGAAATCTATAGAAATCAAAATGATACCTCGATATTTTTTCATTTTACAGTGAAGTTGAAACTTTATATTGTATTTTATTTCATTATTTTATTATGTTAATAAATATTTTTGACAACTTGTTACATCTGATCTCATGTAATTGTTCAAACTGCTCAAAGAGTCATCTTTTAAGATGAATAAGCCTTCATACAAAGGACTTAAAACAAATTTGTTACTGATTTTGCTAACTTGAATTTCTTGATATAATTCTTCAAGCTCTCTCTGCTCAGTTGTATTTGTAATCCCTGTTATCAGTCCCCATCATCATACATGTCCTATGTTACCCAAATTCATATTCAATTCAGTTTATTTGCCAGACTCATGTCCAAAAAACCACGCAAGACAGGACAAATAACAACAAACAAAACATAAAACAAATACAAGAATTAAAATACATACAGACATTTCAGCCAATGCACTCTCAGTCTGGATGTGTACCTGGAGCAGCTCACTAAGGGATTTGAACTTAAACATCAAATTTCTTAAAAGTGCTTTCAGTGTGATTACTCCTACAGATACAAACATCTGACCAGCACTCCCTCCTCTGGGAACCTTGAGTAAAATTCTCATTGCATCATTGTAGGCAACTTTTAACTTCTGCATGCTGGATTTTTTGTAAGAAGACCACAGATGGGCAGTATAAAGTGGTGTACAGTAAGCTTTGAACAGAGCCACTTTAAGAGCAGTAACTAATCTCACATGCTATGTTTGCCTGTGCATATAACTTTTAACACTGTCTGTATGTCATCATCATTCATATCATCTGTAATACAATGACCAAGGCATTTAATCTTTTTGCAGACCTCAAGACAATTATTGGCTAGCATGAACATAGGAAAATTAAGCCATTTATCCTGTTTCGTTCTGCATATTAAAACAGCACTTTTGCTGAAATTGTATTTTATATCAAATTCCACCCCATCAGAGCATATATTAAGAAGCTCCTGCTGCCCAGCACTACTCGGACTAAAAATAACATGGTCATCTGCATACATGATATGATTCACCACCGGCATGCCACCAATCATACAGCCATGTTACAACCATTAAGTCTCCTTGACAGATTATCCATATATAAATTAAATAAAACTGGGGACAAGATTCCTCCCTGCCTAACACCATTGGACACTCTAAAGGGGGCAGATATACACTCCCCCCCCCCCCCCCCCCCCCCCCCCCCCATATTTCATATGTACTATTTCACCCTATTAGTCTTTCATAATACCTAACTAATAAAATATAACAAACAAAAAAAAACAGGTCTTTGGATCTGACACAAGATTAATCGGTATACAAGTATAAAAATTTCGAAAGATGGTTAATAAAATCAGAATAAACTTCAGGTTGACACCTCATGTTACATGTAAGATAATGTTACCTCAACTTCGCCCAAAAAAAAAAAAAAAACCTTCCCAAAACTGTAGCAAGCTTTTTCTAAAGCCCCATAGTAGTTTGTGTATTGCACCCAATAGAGGGCGCTAGTGCTACGCCTTCGCTTCAGATACACATTACAAATATATAGAGACGTACAGACCCGCTGTCTGTACAGAACAGTGCTAGGAAATACAGACTAATGGCGTCTTCACAACGCGCCCGACGGATCAGCTGATTCTTATATCTGCCTGCAAAACTACATGAAGACATAAGGTAAAGCGCTCGTGCAATTACAGATAGCTATGATGAACGTGTCTGTCTTAAACTAGAATGTATGCTTATCCACAATATTCGCTGCATACGACACTATATTGACTTTCATTATTGCAATAGGATTTGTGCAGCGTTCTTTCGTTTTAAGACAAATGTCTATGTCAGCTGTCCTGTCAATATATCAAAATTTCGGTTTAATTTGTTTTCATTTTTGGAAATGCTTTATGATCTACATTTGGCTAAACGGCGAAACTCCACTTTCTTCTTGGATGTGCAGCTCTCATATAGATTTGTTTACCCGACTGATGTCTAAGATGGCTGTTTACTTTTATTGTATGTTCATAGGTTACACACTGTCATATTAAGATGGGCTGGCTTTTAAAACCTGGTGTGCTGCCTACCTAGACAGCATTTTTGGGCATCGTGATGTCCAAAAATGCTGCTGTAATGCCTAAAAAAAGCTGCCTAGGTAGGCAGGGCAGCACACTCTGTTTTGGGATCGTGGGACCCATGGCCAGTCCAGTCAGATGATGCAAATATTCATATGAAATTACCCATTCGGGTGTTTGTTTGAGGGGTTCATGTGCTCCAGTTTAGGTGCTGGTGCTCTGCAGGGGTCTAGAGGATCAGGATTGTGTAGATTGTTAAGGTTTGACATAAACCCTTGAACACTCCATGGAAAGACAGTAAGTAGCTTTGAGTTCTAGGGATTTTCCATGCTTTTTTGGGATTGTGCAGTATAAAGGAATAAGGTCCTCCCTGGGTCGTGAAAACTGTATGTGGGATCCAAAGTACCAGGATCTTCTCAATGCGTCTGTTGACATCTCAAGTAAATGTTTTGTGGAAGGTACATTTGGTTTGAACGTTGTTTGTAATATTCCAAGAAGGCAGGAGACAAATTTGTTATGCATCAAGATGCACAATGCACATAAATTCTAAAAATGTGCATACTTTTTTGTATGTGCTCAATTGAGGCGAAATTTATTTATTTTTTATTCGATAAGAAGACATGCGCTTAAACTACGACACATTTACCAAATAAATCCCTTGATGTGCAACAAAAAACTCCCGTGTCTTTGCCTCAACAGTGGATGTGATTGGATAACTGGACTAACCAGCAGACCCGTTTTATTGCATAGCATCTCGAATGTTGGTTTGATCATTCTGAAATGCCTGAGCCAAGGTCTGTCATCAAAATGATTTGGTTTAATGACCTCCCAGAAGTGTCTCACGATTGCATTTACTAAATACCAGGCATCTGAATGCATGACAGCGTTTATTGGTTTTCGTCTACGTGCTCTGGGGTGCAAGTCATTTATGATGTAGGAAAATAGATCCCCTATGGCTTCCCCGATTGAAGCAACTTCCATTTTTATTATAGATATTTTTCTGCTTTATTAGCAAATGTTTTATGCAATATTCCATTTTAATGGAAACATGTAGTCCAAATCCCAAACCCCATGTGTTGGCCTACAAGTAGATGCCATAACTAATTGAAATTGCAAATAAATAAATTTCAAATATCAGTATCCGTTAAGGAACATGATAATTTAAGCATCTTTTACTTAGAGAATTCAGTTGGTTGGATCATACGCCACACTTTTTTCTTCTTTTTTTTTAGGTCAAGCTAGATTGCATTTTTAGGAAAGAGGGTTTATCAAAATACTTCCAGTCAGTGTCCAGGAAAAACTCTTTACTCCCATTGGCTCTCTCAAGTAACTAATGGCTGCAAAGGTTTGACAACACCACATGTTGCTAACTGCCAGTGTTTACATTTGGTAGTGCAGTGCAGTCCCTCTGGACCCAACACCCAGCATTCATCACTTTACTGGCTTAGTCATCATTTAGATGGGTTACTATGAGGGAGACATGTATTTATCTTTGACAAGTAGAGTTTTGAGAAATGTTACCTGTGTTATTTGGCATGGCAATGTTTTTTTCTTTCAAATATTATCTTATAAATGGGATAACGGCAGTCTGTTTACATTATGGGAGAGTCTTTATCTGATTAGTGTTATCTAGGGTTGGAATTGACTTTTATGCTTGACAGTATATTTAAAGCATAAACATCAAACTCTTTGTCCTCCATCTAATGTCAAGACCGCTTCTGCATTTTAGCCTTGACTGAAGAACAATTATATGAACTTATCCACTATATGTGCACTATAAACAGTAACATTATTGATCTGTGCACTGTATTTGATATACGGTTATGCAGTTTCACCCGAAATAAGTAGAACAGAGGTTAGATAAGTGTGTTGCTCATAACAGTCAGAAAGTCCCTCCCAAATGAGGCCACTTATATTTCCACGTCATAAATAGACATTCTGTAGTTTCAGTATTCGTCCTTTAGTCATAATGGTGGCTTAAATCTTAAAAAAAAAAAAAAAAAACCAGACTCTTTTCTCCGATAGGCAGCTCACAGATGCTTCATTTCAGCCAAAGGTTGTGGTGACCCAGCAGCAACAGTGGCAAGTGCAACAGTCATCTCAAGAATATGATAATAAACATGCAAAGTTGCAAACGTTTGGCCAGATTTGCTAAAAAGGCAAATTAGCATGAGGCCGCAATCCTATAACAGCGCGGTTGGGAGTGGAAAGTTCAGCAGGTTATCGACTTTCAATGCATGAATTTTTTTAATGCACTCCAGTAAAGTCACGTCACGTTTATTTGTATATCACTTTATGCAATAGATAGCTTAAATTCAAGCAGCTTTACCGTATTAAACATGAAAGCAGTGTTACGGTCTTGTTTCATCAGAAGTACAACTTAATTTTCTGCTATAAAGCAGCTCTGTCAGTTTGCTGTATATCATGGATTCGGGGCCTTAAATAATACTGTGCTACATGGGTATGTTTACACACCATGAATCCGTGATATAAACAATACTTTACGATACAATACTTTATATTGTGGTCATGATATATCATCACACCGCCTATAGCGAGTCTGATTTATGCTATTGGTATCATTTGTTCCTAATACAATAAGATGTAACACTTTAATAACAAAGAAAATGCGAATAGCTTGGCCTGGCCATATTGAATTTTTAATAACTCTTCCTGGTCGTCCCATTTAAAGCACCTGACTTGGGAATTTTTACGGGAAATCCATGAAGACATTGACTAGCTTTGCAAATGTGTTCTAATCTATAGATGTGCTTCACAGACAAGCATACTGTATTTTAATCATAATATGGCCTTGTTTGACCTTTTCAGCCCCCACACACATACATTTGATGCACTAAATGCATTACAGAGCACTTAAAGCTGTTTATGGTCAGACTCAGCAGTTGGACATACAGTATGTGCAACCATTTTGCAATTTAATTATGAGATGCAGTATGACAACAGACATTTAACTCAGGATTTTGTTATTGCCATACCAACTAATGAATAATGAACTTTTCAATCAAATAGCCCTATTGTTTACTTCAAGATTCCATGTAATGTTACCACGGAATTCCTCCTAAATCAAATCTGCGATGCCTTTATCACTCAAGGCATTGTTTTTGCCATAAGCTGTAAGGATTCTTTTGAAATTTTTAAGAATTGTCTAATGCAGTTTTTCTCTATTAGTCAGTCATTCCTATCAGTGATCTCAGTAGGTACATTGTTGCTGCCCAACAGCTGTGGATGAGAAAGCAGTAAAGGCAAAGCTCAAATGCAGGCAGGAGACTGGCTGGCTCACGGCAGAAGGTGACCTCAGCTGGGTTCAGATCTGATTGAGTCAGATATTTCGCAGGATAAGTCCCAGTAGACTAGCCTAGTGTATAAAAGTTGCATATGTGCAAAATAAATTTCCAAAGTGAGTGTGCCAAGAACACATTGGGATTCATGGCGTAAAATAAATGAGTCACACCAAAAGACTCACACGAGTCAAAGTTATTGGTTTAATATATATATATATATATATATATATATATATATATATATATATATATATATATACATGTATATATAAATAAATAATATGGGTGCTTAAAGGGATACTTCAGGATTTAGCATTAAGCTTTGTATTAGTAGAAAACCTGTAGTATTTTCGAATTACCGTGCTTTCCACCCTCATATCCCTCTGAGACGAGAGATTTATGTATTTTTTGTCTGGAAAATATCCTCCGATGACGCAAAAATCGTCATTTTGCTGTTCCGCATGTTCTCACCTGCCCATAGAGGGGGGGATCTCACTCACAGAATGTACACATAGTGTCAGCCATCTTTTTTTGGAAGCTAAGCTAGCAGGCTCTTGTTCTGTGGAGAAAGCTGAGTAGTAGGGGTTGCCATCCTCTTTTTCCCGGACATGTCCGGCCGTCGATGTCCGGGATTCAGCTTTTGCTTTCTGCAGTCGCCATTCATTGTTTACATGCACACATTTTGTTTCAATCTAATTGAATTCATTCCGATTGGTGAATTTGAATGTAGTGTTTACATGAACGCTAAACAAGTGATCGGTTGATGTGCGTTTTAACATTGCTAAGAAAATTCTCGCTCCTCCGTGAGAGATACGAGACCGGTGCGTCTCACAGGTTTCGCTCATCGGTAATCACGCCACCGGCCTCGCGCAGTTCTCCCGCGGCCCTCACTCGTTCTTCTCGCCACAGTAAACCCGATGAATGGCGACTGTAGAACGCAAAAGCCGAATCCCGGACATTTTGGGCGATCTCGAAACACATTTTCGGGCAGACACATCACGGAGACTCGCCTAGACTTGTTGTTTAACTACTGCGCTCTGTTACCGGTAGGCGTGGCCTCCTAGGGCAGCAAAGCAAGTGCATTCTGGGAGTTGTGTCTTTCATCCACATAAGCCAAAAATACATTTTCTGGCTTTTCTCAGTCTAGAAAGCTCCAAATTCAAAAATAATTTCACATTTCTTCTACATAAATGACCCATTTTAAATACACATTCATCTTTCCAGAGGTGAAGTATCCCTTTAAACACTAAAGTCATACACACTGTTTTTTTTTTTTTTTGCTTGGGTTTTAATTACTCCAGTGAGAAAA